AAACATGTTTATCATTGTTTGATTATCATCTGTGTTACATTTCTCAAAAGAAATTTGTGCTCAAAATTATACTCAGAGCAACGGTTCTTTCGTACAATGTAAATGTTTATGCAGTACTTTGACGTCAGATTTTGTTGGTGTCCTTGTACAAAATTACTACCTGTAATGCAAGATATTGTATTAAACTCGTCAATTTCTTTTCAAATGTTAAAAAAAATAAGATTAATTGTAAGGGAAAATAGCAGTATCGTCAATTAAAGCAATGATTGGAAAAAAGTGTTTCAAACATATTTATCTGGTTTTAAATTTTTCCCTATCTTTCCTCAGGTAAATAAAGTTCCTGGTTTAAATTTTAAGAAAAAAAAATAAATAAAGACCTTAACAAACTTATCTTCAACTTACCGGATAGTTTCTGTCTCTTATAACTACATTTGCAAAATATATTTTAATACTAGTATAATATATTTTAATACTAATGGAAATATGTACATAATAATGGAAGAGGGGAAAAGCATTACTGAAATACCTTTTATTTATTTATTTAAAAAAATTTAAGTTGTGTTGTGTTTGCATTTAAAAAAAAAAACCCACATAATCTAAAAAACAAAGATGAAAAAGAATTATTTGGAACCCTTGAGTTATTTGCTCTAAAATTTTGTGTTAATATTAGTGAGATATTTTGTATTTATAGTATGTAATATTATGGAAAGAAAAAAAATGGATATGCATTTAATTTAAAAGTATCAGTCGTACCTATATCAATATTCCTGAAAGATAAAACTCAGTTTCGAAAACTGCGAAAATTTGAAAATAAAATGAAAAAAAAAAGTCTAGTTATTTCTTTTTGTTTCAATTTTTATTTTTTCTTCCCAATTACACAAAATAGGGATTTTAATTTTGTTAATTTTCTATCTTTCAAAATATCATTTGCTTTCTATACAAACGTTTTTGAAATATTTTCCGAAACATCTGGACTGCTTATCGTATTACTATCTAGACGTGAGTATGTTGACATAATTTTGTAATACGATCTAATTTTTACAAATTATTTTTTTTTAATGTATAGTATTCAGATATTTCTATTGTAATGTTGCCGTTTTAGCAATTTTACCTAAAAGTACGAAACAACTGCATTACTTGAGTGCGTAGTAAAATAAATTACGTCGACAATATTGTCAATATTTGTATAGCCATACTAACTGTAGTAAACCCAGACTTTTGAATTGAATGGTTCTTCATGATTTACCAATATTTTATTACATCCTATTTTAGCTCATGGTCCGATTTTGTTTTATTACAAATTCATCCTATTATAAAAAGATATATACTACTTAAAAGTTGTTCTGTGTCTTCTAAGTTTCGTCTTTCTCCTGTACGTTTCGCATATTTAAAAAAATAATAAATATCCTTAACTTTCAAAATTTAACTTCTTATTTTTCAAATTGAAATTATATTGAGCGTATTTTAATTAATCAATATTGATGTTCTGCAGGAAAACATTTATTAAAATCACGTCTCTTAAAAATAGTTTTAAATAACAGTGTCAACTTCAAGTTTTAGTGTGTATGAAAACTTTCCGAATCTCTCAACCCCTGTCAAAATAAAATTCTGCTTGTGACAAAAATATTTGTTCATTATTGATCCAAATATTATATTAATTAATGGACGAGGGCTTACCAATAACTCTCCCCTCAAAATATAATCAAATGCTATTTTATAACTATTTTATGAAATTCATGGTTAATTGAGGGCTTTTCAATATAATTAATGAAAAATACACTTTAAATGAAAATCTGAAAACTTTTTAATCTAGTAAAAAAAAAGAAAAAACGGGAGGACCGGAAGTAAGAGCTTCCGGGATGCTACTGTTTCCTGATAAGCCAAGACTAAAAGGATGTAAGGTATCATTTCAACTTAGACCCTCTTCCTTTCGTTTTTGTTTTTGCAAATATTTTCTCGATGAAAAATAGTGCTTTGTTTAGAAATTTTGGTTCCAAACTGCTTCTACAATGCAGCAAATTCTGTTTATTTAAACAGTCTTAAATAACCTATACATACAATTAAATTGTTAGGCATCACAGTAATATTTTATAAAGCTTTTCTACAACAATACAAGTTATTGGTATTTAACTTTTTGTTGCTTATAAATATTGTAAATAACTTGGAAATATGTCTTACTAACATTTTTGCATGAATTTTATTTTGTAATACATACTAGAAGAATATTAGATCGCAATGTGATTAATTGGCATACAGCAAGCATTCCGTTTATGAAATTTCTTAAATTTCTCTAGTTTTTCCAATATTTCAATTCTAATTTTGAAAGCTAAGTTAGATAGATAGGTAGAAAATTTGACGTATTATTTCTTCCTAACCTATTCACCCGTTTTAACATTCGAGTTTTTATTAATAACGAATACCGTGTATTTAAAGATGCGAGGCTGAAATTTACTTATTACTGAATGCCAATTTTTAATTAAAAGACAAAATTGGCGATAAAATTTTTGACTTATTCAGATTTTTGGCCCTAAAAGTATAGGGATTATCATTTTATTTCATTATATCACTGGCATTACGTGGCCGGGATAGCCTGGTTGGCAAGGCGCTACGCTAGACTCACGTTTGTGAGAGCGGGAGTTTGAATCCAGTTGGTCGAAGATTCCCCGTGTGGTAAACGTTGACTGGTGCAGGTTAAATCAGTCGGGTCACACAGTCCTCGACGTCCCCATAACAAATCAATACCTCTGGGGATACTGAATTGGAGATTGATTGTTCTCTGATTCAGGTCAAAATTACGATCTGTGGTCGAATAAATGGATGTATGAATGGGTCCGCCCTGTAAACGGGTGTAGTAGAAGTCGAATTCTTAGCCATAGATGGAGCCACTGAAAAACAAGAACAATCCCCCCCCCAGCCTTAATGACCGACAACAACAACTGGCATTTCGTAACTTAAAATTGTTTTTGAAAACAATTATAAAATTGTTTGTTCTTAATTTAATTTAATGCAAGAAAGCATTTTAAATGTTTTTTTTTACTTATTAATGATTAAAAAATGGAAATTTGTATAATATAACTTTTTTTGTATTATGTTGAAGTAACTTAGTGATGTTAAATGACAAAATTTATATTGGTTAAATAAATCCAATCAGTAATTTAAAATGCAACTTTTTATTTACAACAATAAACTTTTATTATTTTCAGGAACCAATTTATTTTGAATTTTGGCATTTAAAATAACATAGTTTAACATTATGTAAAAACTTCATTATCATATATTTAAAATAGAATCGCCCATTATTAAATTTAATAAAGAAACACAATTACAAAGTATTTTTTGCATGAAACTATCGCAGATTCTTGCAAAACACGCACCCCAAAAAAAAAAATAGATAAAAATAAGAGACGAGAACATTCTATTTCTCACGTAAGTGAACTTTTTGGGTCTCATTTTATTAAAAATAGAGAGATTTTTCATAGCATTACAGTTTCCCACTAACTCTAATGCTTTTAGAGCTTCACAGTGCATGCATAAAAATTTCCCAACACATCAAATGAGTCTCTAAGGAGCTGGAAAATAAGATTATCGTTGCAGTTAATGTAAGAGAAACGCTATGCAAAATTTCTTTCGCTACCCTCTTTCTTTGCTTTGTTCAGAACTTAAATCCATTGAAAATAAGTTAATATTTAGAGAATGTATGGTTTTGTGCTTGATTTCGAAACTAAATTAATTGGTATATCTTATTCAGTTCCTTCAAACCATGAAAGAAAAAAAAGCTTTGTAAAAACTTCATCATTAGGTTAAAAGTTTTCTCACTTCGTGAAGTTCCCTTCTGGTCTGTTCATATTTGAATTCTTTAAATTATTTGGTACTTAACAATCATGTGAATGTTACTAGCTTTACATTATTTGGTACTTATTGAAAATTAATGATGCTAGCGTTGGATCTGATAGATTGATGTATTTCTATAATATCTGTAATATGTTGCATTTTTTAGCACAAACGAAAAGAAATTTTTATCAGATCTATATTTAATAAATAAAACATTTAAATTTTTTTAAAAATGCAATTATTTGTTAAAAACTTATGAATTTTTTTTATTTGCTTATGAATAGCATCGACAGATGCATTTTTAAAATATTTGTACGGTATCTAACACCATAAAATTTAACTACCTGATATGTATGGGCTGTAACTTTATTATAAAAATAAAGTATTTAAACAAGATTTGAAGTTATATTTTACTAATTATATATAAAATGTGGTGGCTCAAGGGAGAGAGAACTCACCTCCCAATAAGGTGACCTGGGTTTGAATCCCTGCAATGACATGTCAATACAAATTCAGCACCTGACTCGCACCAACCACAGTGCTGGCGTAATATATCATCAGTGGTAGACGGATCATGGATCAGAGTCCCTTTTCCATCAGGCTAACCATGGGAGGTTTTTGTGGTGGTCATATGCGGGTTAGTTACATCAAAAAGTCCTCCACGAAGACAAATTTCTCCCAATACTTGATCCAGGTGTTCTCTTGTCTTATGGATTAAGTTCAAAATTACTATGCTTCAGAGTTGAACAATGATAGTGTTTAAACTCAAAATTGAGTTGACTGTTCAACAACGGTTATAAAATATTAAAAATAAAATAGCTATTAATATAAATAATCAAAAGTATATTTCAAAATTCATTAAAAACATAATTTGAGTTTTTCCTTATTTGTTTGCATCCTAAGAGCATATATTCAGCTAGTTAAATGGCAGCATCATATACTACTGCTTCATAACTTTGAAAGAAATATTTTTAAAAAAAACATTCTATTAGGTTGCAAAAAAGGGTGTGTTTTACTTTTCTTATGTGTCTAGAATCGAAGATAAAGAACTAAGACGACACATCAAATGCATTCATATTATTTCTCTTTTAATATTATTTATCTTCATATTTATTTATTTTTTGATAGTGTGATTTAGCATAGTATTAAGTTATACTTTCTAATTTCAGGAAGGCTCGTCGCAAAGAAAAAGATGCTGTTACAACATCTCAAGAAGAATCTAAACTTTATTTAGAACAAGCTGTTTTGGAATGTAGTGTTCCTGAAACTAGGCTTAGAGAAGTCATAGATTTGCCACCTGGCATAGAATATAATGAATGGCTAGCTTCTCATAGTATGTATAATTATTTTATTTTTTGCATTTTTTTGCTCTTTTCTGAATATTGATTATTATTATTTAACTTGTATTATTTTACTATTTTCTGAATATTTGTAGTTACAATTGAAAAAAATATTAATCTTTTCTTTTATTTATTTTAGCAATAGCATTTTTTGATCACACAAATTTAGTATATGGAACTATATCTGAGTTTTGTACAATGTCAGGTTGTCCAGATATGAATGGTCCAAATGGAAGGTATGGAATTTTCTTTTCTTGACTGTGCATTTCAGAAAATATGCTCGAAGTTATTTAAATTATAAGTAAACTTTGCATTCAAATTTTCTATATGAGAATGAAAAAATTTTTTAAGATTTGCATTTAAAAGTTGAAAATTCTTTTTTTTTTTTAAAAAAAATCCACCATTTATAGAACTATTAGCTTAAAAGGGTATTTTCCCCCCTTCCCTACAAATATTGCACTTTTGTTCTGTTTTTATGTGAGTATATTTATATTCTTGCATCTATTTTTTTTTATTGACTGAGCGTTTTCACCTGTTTTTGTTTCCAAAAAAAAACTATCCCCAATTCTTGTTATTTAATGGGAAAGTCTTGTATTGAACTGAAATTCCTATACAAACTTGTCCCACATTAATCTTATAAAATATGAATGCACTATTTTCTTATATTTTAACATTAGGTGCTAACACCCTTAATAAGTAACATTCACAAGAATAATAAGTAATTTATTGATTTATTCATTATTTTCTTACATTTATTGGTGGATTTCATATTAGGTAGCTACATAGCTGAAGAAAGTTGTAAACTGTATAAAATATTAAAATTTGATTTCTTAGTCAAATTATATTAAATTAATATTTAAAAAATTTTATAAAGTTTTTTAAAATAAAGATTTCTTTAAAATATAATTTACACTGTTTATTAATATAATTTAAATGTTAAATGTTAATATAATTTAAATGTTTTAAATTATAAAATATAGTTTGAAATAGTCAAATGTAAATTTTGCTTAAGACTATTAGTCATTACTTTTCATTGTTAAAAAATTCTGTCTTTAGTGAATTAGTGACAAAAATGTGCTATCCAAACAGTTTATAATAGGTCTATTTCTAATCAGGTTTTAAAAAAAGTAAATGTTGCCTTAAGATAGTCTGTTTACTTTTATTTTTTGTGTTGTGAAAATTTCTAATTTCAGTTAGTTTAATAAATCTAACAGTTCTTCTTGTTTTATTATTATAGCATTTAATTTTTCTATTCAATATTAATATTCGTTTTTATTTTGCCATTATTTTTCTAGCTATATAAAATATTTGATAATCTGCTGAATGTCATTAAAAAATAAAAATAATAATATTTGCTTGGATTTGCTATAAAGTTGAGTCCTTACCTAATTTTACTTTTATTCATTTAAGTAACAGGGTGGCCACCCACCTGGAAAACCTTGAAAACCTGGAATTATCAGGGAATTTTTTTTATACTGGAAAAAACCTGGAAATATCAGGGAAATTTGGATGAAAACCTGGAAAAATCAGGGAATTATAAAGAAAAGCTGGAAATTGTTTCTTTGATAATTTTTTTAATTTCACTAATTTAAATTATTTCATCCATTATACCCACTTTTTTTAAACAGAAATGTATCGCCAAACAGTTGAATTATCATCAACTTAGCGATACTTTGCTTGAATCAAAATTTGCTCCATTAAACTAGAATGCCACATAAAATTCTCCCACGGGTGCTAAATTCTGTCCTTGGGCAGAATCCATTTATGGCTCAAGTTTGTTCCGATGCTTTGGTGGTAATTTTTTATTTTTATTTTGACAAAATGTTCTTGTATTTTTAACTTTATAAAATTCTCCAAAAATTAGTTGGTTATAATTTAATAATAATAGATTTTATATTGCACTCTTTGTCTGAAAGCTTTTCTACTCCCATTCAAAGAAATCTGTGAACTATTTTTTCTCAGCAAACCAACCAATCACACATTTTTTTACAATCACTAACAGCAATGTTTGTCGATAAATCATTACAATTGTTGCATTAATGCTAATTTTTTCTATTTCATTTTAACCTTTTATAACATATTTTAAAAAAATGATTTTTTTGAGAACCAACTATATCTGTATTAATATTTAATTTTACTCTTTTGTTGGTCAATATATGATTTTTGATTCAAAATTTCGTACCAAAACATTTGAAAAATAAATAAAAAAATCTTGACAAATTGTCAAAATAAATTATTTTTTAAAAGGTATGTTAAAAAAACAAACATTTTGAATAAAATATTTTATAATATAGACACTTTTCTTGTACACATCCTACACTTTATAAGAAAAAAGAAACAAAAACCTGGATATTTTAGGATTTTTATCTGGAAAACCTGGAAAAATCAGGGAAATTAGAAATCTTATTTGAGTGGCCACCCTGAGTAAGTAATGCAGGTTATAAGACATTCAGTTCTATATTTTGTAATATTCTCAATCAAAAATAAATTTGAAAGAGATCTTTATAGATAGCAAAACCTGTAAACTGTATATCTTTTTTATGCATAAAATATAGTAAGTATTACTTGATATAAATGTTGATTTTGATAGCAAATTAACTCAAGTTATTAGAAACGCTTTTGATTTAGATCCAATATAAGCAATTTTCTTGTGCTATTATCTTAAAATATCAATGTAAAAATAATGAAATGCACATATGACTTTATTTTAAATAAATTTGTGGTTATGGTTACTTATTTGTGGGTACATTTTGGTACCAGGTAATAAAAGATGCATACATCTATTGTTAACAAGATAATTTAATACTTGATTTGCCTAAATATACAAAATCTCCACTTTTTTTTAAACAAAAAGTGAGAAACCAGGAAAAAATGAGAAGCATTGTTAAAATATCAGTGACTGTTACTATTTGAGGCTGCTACTTGTCATTTTATTCAGTGGTAGTGAACTAAAGCAGAATATTTTGAAATAAACAGAATTTTTTTGCAAAATTATTATAACCTACGAATTTACGCATTCATTTATATGACCTTATATGTATCAATTAAAAAATTACTTGTGCTTAGTGGTGGACAAAATTCTTTAAATTCTAATTTATTAAAGTACTAATACATTACACTAAATACCACTAGGCAAAATATTTTCTGGCAATGCCGAGAATTTGTAGTTTTTGGAGTCTCTGCAATAGGGGTTAACATCGGTTTTCTTTTAGAAAATTTAAAAATTATGCCCATAAAATTGTATGTTCCTATTGTTAAGTCTTAGCAAAAATGCAACAACACATACTTAATACTAACTTAACAAAGCATTTATAAAAACCTAACGTGATATTTTTATAGTTGCCAGTCTGTTTTGAATCTGAGCTACTCTCTTGTTTATTTATTTGTAATTTTATATTTTAGGCAATACCTGTGGTTTGATGAAAAAGGAAAAAAGTGCAAAGTTGCTGCTCCTCAGTACATTGATTGTGTTATGACATTCACTCAAAGAACATTATATGATGAATCAATTTTTCCTACAAAATTTGGTTTGTATATTTCTTTTATGCATCACATTATTTTTATCAATATTTTTACATTTAGACGGTATTTTTTAAGCTTTTATTTATAAGTAGTGTTGAACAATTAAAAGAATTATAAATTATTTATTCTAACTAATGTTAAAACATGAGATATTTCTAAAATATTTTGAGTTGTTGCAAAATTTCTGTTTTTCATTAGATTTAAAAGAATTTTGACAATCACAACATTTAAAAATTAGACTATTATATTTTTATAGTATGAGATGAATGTGAATTAGATTTGTTTTCGTTTACTTGGTATGTATTTGTATTGTTTAATTTATAACAAATTGTTTCAATATTGGGATCGTTCTTTTTGCACATTGAAAAAGGCATAGTTGTGTATAGAATTGTCAAGCAATTACTGGAAAATTTGTTTAAGAAACTCAAAAATTTTTTTAATCAAAAATGACTCATCTTGCAGTTCTAAGGTTAATATATAACTATATTTCCTTTTAAGTTTTCACAAAAAGCAATTTAATAAATCAATCTGAAATATACTTTTCAAAAACTCATTTTAGATCCTAAGTCATGCTTTCAAATGTTCTGTCAGAAGTTTGTTCTGGGAGAAGCTCATAAAATTGAAAAATTTAGTTTCCTTTTTGTCTTTTAATAATAAATGAAGCTGTATATTTTATTGATTGTGTTATTTTATCCAAGTATGAGTTAATAGATAAAATTTTGCTATATATATCAATATTTTTATTATTGCATCTCAAATTTTTTTTATTACATTTATTTTTTGCTTGATAGAACAATCTCTTATTGAAAGTTAGTTTGCTCACCGTATATAATAGTGGTTGGACAAAATATAAACCAAAACATCTAATAATTTGACAAAATTTTGCTTAACTAGATGAAGTTAAATTGTATGGGCTGAAGTATGATTAAGTTCTTAGGTGTTTTTACTTTGTATATTTTATTTCACAAAAAGAATTATAGTTTAATAATATGATTTTTTTAAAAATTGCTTAAGTAAAAGTTTGTGAAAAATAATATACTTATTAATTAGTGGTGTCTAGGAGTAAAATATTAGGTATAGGTTAAATATATTCTAGTTATTACTCAGCGTCAAAAGCAGTGCTTTCATTTCAATATAAAAGCCGTTTAGTTTTAGAATCTTGTATCTGTAAAACTTCAATCTATTTCATATTAAAATGGCTTTTTGGCATTTAAGGAGTCCCATGGTTCATTAGTTAAAGTAATAAACTGTCATTGTGAAAAACTGAGGTTCGATCCCCAGTGGTGGCTTGAAGCCCACCCAGCTTCAGATTGCTGGGTACCAGCTTGTCTGAAGTAAAGGCTACCTTTGCACAATGCTGACCACATTGCCACAATCATGCTGTTGGGCACAAAATTGTGGAGCCTTAACATCCATGGTCCTTGGCCAGCATCAGGCTGTAACAGGAATGTGATGTTGTCAAAATACTAATCATTGTTTAAGCAGATTTCATAATTATTTATTTCACATTTTTTAAATGTTTGAAAGTTAGTATTCAAATGATGAAATTACAAAAAGTTGTTTTTTGTAATTTGTTTGAGGATATAAATTTTTTAAAATCAGTTCATGTTTGTTTGCCCATAAACACTTTATAATCTTGTCACTAATTGGTTTTCATTAATTTTTTTTTATTTCTATAAGATATTTCATTTTTGAAAACGAAAGACTTTAAATTATTTTTTTTTCTTATTTTTTCTTAAAATTACATTTAAATGTTTAGAGTTTCTCTCTTCATATTCAAAAAGATAACATTCATTATAATTTCTTATTTATAATAAATGTTTTCTTTGTGTTTTGCTATTGAAATTAAATCTTAAGCTAACAATTTATGTTAATTTGTAATGAATTCCTGCATACATGTAATGAATTCTCCATGCAATATTACATTCTTTTATGAGTCTCATTGAAAGCAAGATTCCAATTTTCATTTCAAAGTTGTGAAGAATATAAAATCAATTTTAATTTGTCTGATTAATTATGTATAAATACTATAATTAAAATGTTGTATTTAACTTGCTGAATGAATATTATTCATTAGATATTTTGCCGCATAGAAGCTTTGTTGTTTCAAAGCCTTAAGATATATGAGCCATATTACTAATAAACCTTTGATTTACTGTAATTATTAATCTAAAACATAAAATTTTGTAATCGAATACAGGGCTTGTAGTTGTCTTGATATTCTTGAAGAAAAATATTTTGTCCTTATTTTTAACTTTTTGTTCTGGTAATCTTGATTTTTGTGTGTCTCTAAAGCATCCTATTTTCTATGAACACAATTGCAAATTGATTTGAAGAATTGAAAGATTTAGATTTTCAATCCATTATCTTTTCATTTTTATTAATAATGCTTGTTAATGGTCACCAACTTGGGGACCATTAGCTAGTTATAATGCATGGTTTTCCTAACCCATTGGATTTATTACAAAATTTTTGCAAATAAAATCATTTTATGAAAAATGAAACACAATTAATTATTCTAAACTATCAAATTTTTATGGAGATGAATTCAGAGGCTATCAGCAAATTAATATCTGCATATGCAATAAAAAATCTTGTAGGGTAGAGTTTTTTTCTTTCACAAATATTGATTTATCTCTTTCATCTGATTCTCAAAACGATCAATTCCAATCTAGAAAACAGTAATTACATCATGTCACAGAACTTTCAAATATTGAATTGAGGGATCAACCACTAAATTACCTTTCTACCTTTCTTCAAAAAGGTAATGCTGCATATTGAGTTTTTGTTTTGAAATTATTGAGACACTACTTTTTTAAAAAAAATTTATAAAAGAAATCTTTCATTACAAATTTTAATTAAAAATTGGTATAAAGGAATATTAGCTAATAGGTACTGGTTATTTTTTAAGCAACTTCTTTTTTATCAGCACGACAGCCCTTTGTAGGCCTTGCCTGCCCCAACTACATGCATTTTTCAAGATTTCATATCTATGGTGATTAGTCTCCGATTTTCGCTTTCCAGGCACTTAGGTTTTTTACAGTGTCCTCTAGCAGTCTGTTTGATCTCCCTCTGGCCCTAAGATTACATAGGTACTTTTAAAAGTTGCAATAGCTACATTAATTTATAGTCTTCCCTAGACATGACCAAGCTGTCTTTACCTATTGTTCTAGATGACTTGTATTATCTGTGGCTGCTTATTTAACTCAAAGTTATATCTAGTTTGTTAACAACTTCTCTTGTTTTGAGCCAAAAATAATCCGAAGGATTTTTCTTAAAAATTATTCAGGGGGCACTGAGTGTCTATATTAAGAATCCAAGTTTCACTTGCATTGACCAAGACAGGCAGAAAAAGTCTTTCTTTTTTATGGGATAAAAACAGTACTATAAAAATTTTTCTATGTATATTGATCTCAAATCGTTAAGAGTTGCTCAGCTCTCCATTTATGAAATTTTACTGAAACTGTTGAAACTTTCTGAACCAAACAAATAATCCTGAAATTAACTGTAATATATTATTCTTTTGCGATAAAATATGACCTAAGAAGTTCAAATTTTACTTTTTTTTAGTTTGTCATTTGTCTTTTTTAAAAGAAATTTGGTTTATGTCAACTGTTCCAAAAAATATCTTGAATTTTATGCAGATTTTTTTGAAAAATGCTTTCCTGATTTTTTCTTTGGTCCACTACAAAGCCTATCAAATCTATATCATGGATCTTGAATATGTGCAGTTTTCCATCTTCACCAGAAGTTTTATTTAAAATTGTCGATTTATATTTTTATTAATGATTTATCAACAATTTATTCAGCTGCATTTTTCACATCAGTATTAAAAACAATCCTGCTATAATTTTTTTACCTCATTGGTATACATTTCTTTATGTTGGATACTGTGGTTATTACAGAATAACTAATTTGCTATCATTAGAGTATCATATCAGTAAAAAATTTCCTCCTAAGTACACAATTCATTTTTGTAATAAAAAGAAAACCCTTGTAGATAGGTTCTTTCACTCCTATAGGAAATTTATAGCAATTTTACCAATAATCTCTTTAAAATGAATTTTAACAATACTTCCAATTTAACATTTCAAATACCTAAATTAACTATTTTGCTTCTAACTCTGTGCTTTTATTTATAACCTTCAGACAAAAATTTACCTCACTGTGCATTCTGTGGTTATTAAAGTTCTAAAGTTTTTTTTATAACATAACAAAATTGTTGGAATCACATTGTATGAATTTATTTGGAATTGCAATGTTAAGATTATTAATTTTTATAAATTTTTTTTGTTGCAGATCGTGACTTCCCTAGTTCTTTTGAGTCAATTGTCAAGAAAATACAACGATTGCTATTTCATGTCCTGGCTCATATTTATCATATTCACTTTAAAGAAATCGTGCTTTTAAATATGCACGCTCATTTAAATTCTTTATTTGTGCACTTCACTTTGTTTAACGAGCGATTTAACATCGTTGAGGAAAAAGAAACAGAGATACTTAGGGATCTTGCAGTAGCTTTGAAACTATATGGTGATAATTCTGATGCTGCCTCTGATTCAGAGGATAAAAGCAAAGCAAGTGCTACTGCCACACCTAGTGCAATTGCATCAACTAGCGCAATCGCTCTAGCATCTACCGATGAAGCTGCAACTGCTGTGATAGAGGATACCAATGCAGCCGATTCAATAAAAGACTGTGCTGTATCAAAAAGTAATGAAAACTCCAAGAGGCCTCCAACCTATTCGCAATCCTCACAATCGATTGCCTCCTCCATCTCATTGGCCTTACATTCCCGGTCCAGTTCTGGAAGCCATTCAAGTTCTGGTTCATGTGCTATGGACTCTGCTTTATTTTCTCATGGCACACCGCCAACACCCAATTTTGGTTCCTCACCCTTAAAGTTCCAATAGAAAACCTTTGTTATTTTTCACCCTGGCCATCCACTAAACAATACAAAACCTCAATAAATGTGATAGTCTGTATGCTATAGTTAAAGGAAATTAAGTTCATTGCTGCTATTTAAAAGAAAAAAAATAACAAACCTTAAAAAAAAATTATTTTTTAATCTATCAGTAATTGTCAAACTAATTATAAAATAAATCAAACATTAAATGCTTTATCATTTTTATTAAATAACTAAATTATCAACATTTAAACGAATTACTTTTCTTAATATTTAAAAAAAAAAGTTAAGATGACTTTTTTGAATATTTTAAATGTGCATACAGACTTTCATAATAAAAGTGTTAAAAATATAACCCGATTAGTTTCTATTCCAACATGCATTGGTACTAATTCTTAGCAAATCTCTCTCTATGATATTGTAGCTCTTTTAGACTGTAATGATAGCTTATGTGAAATGTAGTTTTCATAGATATGAAAGTTACACTACTGCAAAGAGTATAAATTTTGTGAATGCTATCAACCAATATAAATTTTTTTTAATTCATGCTCCTTAAAATTTACTAAAATTAAAAAATAGTTTAATAATAATTTCATCATTTTATGATAGATGTTTGAAAAATATTTGTACTATGTATTTAATTCCCTATTTACACCAAAATGATGCAGTCACACAATTTATGCTAGATTCAAACATGTGGTTGAGGAATAGGGTTGGTTTAAGTGTATAGTAATTTTTCATGTATACATTGACGTAGGTCATTACTTATTGTTTAATTCAAGTAATGACAACGTGTGACAATCACTGCTTTGTAGATAGGAAACAATATTTTTTTCATTAAATCACTGAGCCAAGTGCAGTTATAATGCTTAAAAATAATCAAGAATGCCCTTAATAATACATATAACATATGTAACTTGTATTTATCAAAAATAATGAGATTTATTTTGTTTAAGATAAAAATCAAAGGGATATATTATCCTGTAAATTTTTGTAGAGCTGCAGTATAGAAACCGCGCTGTCTTTTTAAATGCATTAAAATATTCCATTTACTTATAAAAGTAACTTAACTCTAGTATATTTTTCGGGAATTGATAAAAGTGTGAGTGCCTGTTATAATTTTTTCAACTGATATATATTTATACATGTATGACAATAGAAGTGAGACAATACATATAAACTTGCATGTAGCATTCGTTAGGCAGTTTAATTGTTGTGTAGAACACCCATATGTTCTTTAAAGACAAACATTAGAAACTTACCAAAAATTGTACATTTTTTCAAATGTGCCTTCTTGTGATACAGTAATGTGCATGATTCATCGTGTGAAGTCTGACATTTTATCAAAAGAGATAAGAATTTTCAGAGCTATGGTCTTCTTGCAGTTTCATGTGAATCTTAAACACAATTGTTATTACTCCTCTAAACCAGTGTCTGGTTTGTTTTAATCAAATTTTGTTTTGATAACTGTCAAAATTGGTACTTAATTATTTACTTTAATTATATCAATTATAAACTTTTTTTATTTAAATGGGTAAAGAATTCTTTTTCACAAAATTATTGCTTGTAGTTTTTTTTTTTTTTTTTGGTGANTTAGTTTTTTTTTTTTTGGTGAGAACAAAAAAAGGTTCTTGGATGGCTAGGGTGGCTTGCACTTGTGGTTATTTCCTACGTGGATAAAACAGTTGTGATAGAATCCATTGCTAAAATGTTGGCCTTTTGACAAAACAGCATGGACATTATATAGCATGTATGACTGTTTCATGAGTCTGTGATCATTGTGCATAGAACTGATATTTCTAGAAAATTTGTGTTTTTCTATACCTTGAGTGTACTTGCTCTTTTTCCCATAAGTAAATTATTAAAAAAAATTATATCTCAAAACCCATATCTTTAACGATATATTTGGTATTATGAAATTTTAACATAAAATGTTTACTTGTAGCGAAAGACCTTGTTTTTTTAATTCGGTTGGTTGTATTATTTTTAAACTTTGAAAAATGTTAATAAAACAATATTCTTCCACAACTAAATAAACTGTTGAATTGAGGGTCCAAAGTACCCTTTTTACAGATGCCCATTGACATCTGTGAAGTTATAATAACTTCTTTATTAACAAGAGGACTGTGCCTATTCAAACTAGATACGACTTATGTGGCAATGATATGACTGTGACTAATTTATCGACTTAGGTGTTGCATTAAATGTTTTTTGTACATAATATATATTTTATTTTAAAAAAAAAGTTGACTGGTTTAGTCACTTGTTATTTCCCTTAAAGAGGACATTGGCTTTCGAAGCTTAACTTTATGCTTGATGTTTTTGAAATATCATTCATAAGATTTATTAAAACTTAAAAGATGTGTATAATTATAATATTTTTAAAATACAGGCTTTGAATATTATGGTTTTATGGGTTTTAGATTAAATAAATATGATTTTTGCTTCTTTCTGATAGTTTCATAGATTGGGCTTTGATGGACATTGTTCATTAATAACACTTGTTCACTAATATTTATTTTAAACTTCTGTTGTACTAGTAATAAAGCCTTTTTCTTTACAATTTTTTTCTCTTGAAGTACTTTCAGGATAAATTTTTAAAATGGCTTGAGGACAAAGCAATTTTTATTTGATTTACATTGGTATTGTATTACCATTACAATGAAACTATAGATGTTTTTGTTGTGCAATTTAGTAGACTGTGTTTCAAAATCTGTGAGATTATACATTTTCATTGCTTAATTTTTCTGATTTTTTTGTTATTTATCAAAATGATTGTAATTATGTGTATAGTTAAAAAAATATGTGTTTAAAGAAAATTTGCTTTATTTACATTTCATTTTAACTTATTTCTATTCTTCATAAGAAAATGTCCTTGTGGTTGTGATAAAAAATGAATTGCACTGTTGTATAAAGAAACCAGCTACATATATAAAACAAACCTGTAATCACATTTAAAATGGACTACTTATCAAAAGATGTGAGATTGAGCTTCAATGAAACAGGTTTAAACTACATTTATGTTTCTTGGAAATTGAATTGTTTTTACAAGTTACTTCTCTTAATTTTATGGACTGTACTTCATATTCATTTTTAATTATTCATGAGTCAAAAATTAAGTTGTTTAATATTTTGTAGTCTTGGCTTCGACATGTTATCAAAAAATGTTAATTTACAACTGTATTTGTGAAGAAGATAAGATGTTTAAGAAAAAAAATATTTGCTGGTTGTTAGAGATTGTGCACATAATTCTAGTTTGTTGAGGGACTCTCAAGTATGTTGCACAATCTGCACTTGTACAGTCCTGTAACTTTATGAAAGATACTAGTCACAGAAATGAAATAAAATAGTATGTTAGCTGTATTTATAATTGCTTGAAATCATTTATTTACATCAATACCAAACTACATATTTGCCTTTTTATTAAAAACACAGACATATGAAATAGCTATTAGAAATTCATAGCTTGAGAAAAAGCCTTGAGGTTGATAAAAAAAACTGAATTACTACTTTAACCTATCAAAATGCCTTAAGATTGTTTAAAACAATTTTTTAAAAAAAACACAAATTTTTATTTTATGTTACAAAATGAAATACTTTGAACGGCAAAGAGATACTTCCAAACTTGCTGCTTTGTAATATTAAAACCTGTTCTATATTATTTCTCAGTAAAATATAAGGAATATTATATTTTAAAAATATCCTTACAATTCAAAGTATTTCATATTACAATAAATTAGCTAGCTTTCTTTCGGTGAACTTTTCAATTTTGATTGATAAACAGTTTTCGGTTAACTCAGCAATACTTGATCTCAAAATTATTTAAGTTAATAAACATATTTTTGAAGTTCAGGAACTAAAACTTTGAAACAATAGACGTAGTTATATGTAGTACTCATATTTGTGTAAACCAGATGGTTGAAATTTATATTTATGAGCGATACTACACAGTGGTGCCAATCATTGCAGATGAAGTTGAATCCACACTCATGGGTAGAGTTGAGCTTTTAAGTTCTGTACTAGCCAAACTTGTTTGTTTTGAAGAGCTTAAGCTTTGAATCGGTGTTTGAGAAGTCATTGGTTCCATAGCTATGGTTGGATTATCTGAGGATTTTTGTGGCAAATTGGTTGTCACAGCCATTGTTGGTTTTTCTGTTATTGACAATTGAGAAGTTTCCTTTGTTGCACTGATAGAACTCAAAGCAGTTGACAAAGAAGCCTGTCCAGCATTTGCAGGGGTAGAAACCTCTTCATCTAGTAGTGTATCAACAATTGGAAGAGATACAGGGAGAACTGGTAGTGCTTCATCAAGTTTTGTTAATAGATCCAAATTAACTTTAGTTGTTAATAAAGCTTTTGGTAATGGAGCTATTGTTGTTAATATATCTTTAGTTGGTGGAGCTTTTGTTATTGATGGCACATCTGTTATTAAGGGCTCCTTTGCTCCTGGCCCTTTTGTTAAAGTGTCTTCCATTATTAATGGAGCTTTTGACGTTAATGAAGATTTTGTTTCATCCCGATTTGAAGATAATGCATCAGTATCATTTCCTTCTTCCTCTCCTTTGTTACGACCATCAAAATCTTTAAAGAAAAAACAATGTGATATGTAATGGGAAATTACATTAGTTTTTATCAGACCAGTATATAGCCACTTTAGCACCATTAAATTCTTCAATTAATCTAATTGAGTTCAATAATATAATTGAAAAAAATGATTTTATAATCTTGTAACTAATAATTAAGATTTATTTGAATATTGTTTGTTAAAAATTCAGTAATTCCCCATGTAAGGGACAGTTCTAATCAAAGGCCATCTTCAATTTAAGGGGTAATTCTGTTGGTCCTGAACCCTTTAAATAAGAATCTTAATATATTTATCTTTTAATATGGTATACTCTGAGGGACACTGAAAAATATTTTAAAAAGTTGGATAGAGACATATGAAATGAAAATTGAAATACCTTTTTTTTTCCTTTAGTATATTTATCACTTTTTTTATGACTGCTGTTTCAGAGAAAGACGAAAGAATAATACACAAGGAAGAAACATCCCATACTGTGATTTCATATTCAAAGACTATTTTTTGAATTGGGAGAAAATAAATTACCCCAGGAGCTGTATGTGGCATTGTGGGAGAACAGTGATCAAATAGGGAAAAAAAGGTTTGATGATTGGAACATTAAATGATAATGATGGGTAGCTAATTCAAAAGTGCATTCCATCATGTAAAGAAAATTTCAATGGAAAATCCCAGTGAAAATTTCTTTCACTTATTAGTAAAGAAGAAGCAAAAGAAGTTTTGGAAAGTTGGAGGCTACAAGTCAAAGTATCAAATAGTTGTACAAATTAAAGTTCAAGTATAATATTTTTATGACTTTTTTGGTGGAAAAAAAATCAGTTAATGAAATATATATATCTGATTTTCCAATTAAATCACATTTTTTTTTCGTTTTTACATACTCTCTGAATATGAAGAAGAAAAAGTCTGAACTCCAAATGTGACTCTTATTAGGATACAATACTTTCTTTTACATACATAAAATTAATCTTTCTTATCCAAAATCTTTAATGCTCAAAACATGTATGACTTTGTCTAGATTTTACCAAATTTCAATATTAATTTGAAGTTATTTTGCCTGTTGTGTTTAAAATCATGCTAAGTAAGGCTCTGAAATTTTTCATTAGTTATAGTCAATTATGATACTCACTTATTTCTCTTGGGCACCTGCTTCGTTGTACACAATTTCCATCTGGTGCTCTTAGAAAACCTGTCCTACAATAACACCCATTGGTGCATCTATCTGTACAAGGGCGAGAAAAGTCATCATCGTCATCACATGTTGCTTCACAAGATCGAACGCTACATGTGAAAACCTCGTATTCTTTACATCCTATAAAAGGAAATTTAAGCAATTCTTTATACCTTTTACTAATAAATTTTTTAGTTATGAATTTCTCAAATTAAAAACATTGAAAAAATTGTAACTACTTTTTCAGTAAAAAAATAATTGGACTAAATTAAAATTTTGAAATGAAAAATCACAATTAGTTTAAAATTGATGTAATTTATTATATAATTGCAACTAACTATGCATAAAATGTACAAGTTTACACACAGATAGCACACATTTTAGCTGAGATGTCTATGATTGTTTGCCTGTTTGTTTCAGAATTAGTTAGGATGCACTAAAGATTTTATGATTACCCTAGATGCAGATTAAAATGGTAATTTTCAAAATATGTATCCTTTCTAAGACATACAACTTTTCTATTAAAGGTTTAAAAAGTCATACCAAGGAAATTATTTTTTTTCATTATCTGACATTAAAACAATGAAATAATTGCAACATCCCTGTGAGAATATCCTTTTATCAACCATAAGCTAACATTTTTAGTTGTTCTTGAAATGATTATATGTTTATAATATTAAAAGTTAAGTTTAATTGGCCAGTATTAAAAGTCTTTTCAGGTATACAGATTGCCCCCAAAATAGACCACCAAGGAAACAAAATTTCAAGAATATTTAAATTTATATATATATAAATTTAAAGGTGGCAGTCGGGCGAGTAGGACAAATAGATGCAGGATTTAAAAAGATCAAATTAATTTTATTTAACCATCATAATCGGAGTATGAATATCCAAGTGACACACAAATTGAAATGCTCCTGGATAAATATCTATATATAAAACTTATTTCTCATTTCCAATTTAAAAATTAGAAGACATGCATTATTCGAAGCAGTTCTTGAATCCACAGACAAAAATGCTATAAATTGAGAAAGGAAATTTTTTCTTCTTTCTCTTGTTTTATTACAATGTACTTAAAAATATATTTTTATAAATTAAATTTTAAAATAACCAGTTTTAAATAATTTTGGGATATCGATTTCTTGTTAATATTTAAAAACATTGTTTTGCTACTTTAAAAATCAATATTCATACAGTTTTAAAAAAAAGTAAAATTATTTGCATATAGCATACTTTATTTAAATAAACATACGAAAAATATATAAAATGAAATTCTTATTCTGTATTTGTAGTATAAATAAATAATTAAGAATAAAATTTTCTTGTAATCTTTTAGTCCAGGTTTTTTTTAAAATTAATTTTCATTAGACAGAACCTCTTTTTTAAACCTGATTGCATAGACTGAATTAAGTTTATGGAACACTTCATTACTACTAATCGAACATGGCATCGCTTTACAGAGAATAGTTTATTTTATTTTTAAATCTAGCGTTTATGATTTTATCAAAAAAATATCTATTCAAATTCAAAAACAAATATGATACTTCTTTGCTTATTATAGAATTTGAAAGCGAATAAAATCCTATCTTTGAACAGGCCCATTGTTAAATTTTTAACTAGTCTATGCTAAAATAATATTTTAAAGAGATTGATAGGATTTAATTTCCAGTCGCCTTATCCTAAAATAATAAATAAATGATTTTGAACAAAAATTTAACTGACCCCTTTAAAAGCCCATTTGTATTTTTTGTAAAACTTATAAATGAGTTCAATTTTATTCGCTTACGTGTAGGGCAGTGATTTGATGAAATGCATTTCCCCTTTACATTTCGTACATAACCACGTTTACAAAAGCATCCTCTGACACAAGGGGCTGCACAGGGCCCAGGATTTGTATGATTTGCACAAGTGAGCTGGCATGCTGTACCACATTCTTTCAGCACTTCATTATGTTCACATCCTAAAAATCGATTGAAAAAGTCCACTTTATTTTATATAACAATTTGTAAGCCATAGATTATTGTATAAACTGGCTTCCAAGTGTTTAAGAACTAGCTAAAATTGTAGAGAATTTTTCTGCTGAGTACAGAGGGCACTGCTTACTAATTTGTGCAAATTTATCGATCTAGAACACTAAAACGAACTGATAGTGCTAATTTGGGTCATAGAAGGTAGGGCATGGTGGGCCTCGTTTTAAAAATTAAGTTTGTTAACAGAGCTATAAAATTGATGGTTCTTTTTAAACAGATGCAAGGTATTTTGATTCGATATAAGACATTTTATTATTAGAATTCTTTAAAAATTAATACATGCATAAGAATTAGTGCATCGTATTTGGAATATAAATTTACTATACATAGCTCTCTTAAGACATTAATTCTAAAATTGCCTATTGTTCACAAAATCATTTTGCGTATGAAAATTAATAATGTTGTGAAATAAAATATATTTATATAAAAAAATCCTGTCTATAAACTTCTTATTTATTTTACTAGTTCTAAATTTTTTTTTTCAATTTTGAGAAGTAATGTGAAATATATGTTAAAACATGTTACTACCGCCACAGCTTTAGTAAATTTTCGCCAACCTTATCGCTCTCATATTGTATTTTTTAATGCCGGATAAGAATTAAAAGAGAAAATTCAACTTTTAAAATTTTTCAGGCTGAAATTCGATTTCGGCTTTTAATTCCATATTTTTATTTATTTTTTATTTTGAATTTGTGTATTTACCCATTTTTTTTTTTATCAGATTGCATTTAATAGTTTTATAATTTATTAAATGGCGGAAAAATTGAAATAATAATTTAAAGAGAAAAGAAATTGAAATAACATATTTTGGGTTGGAATTTCCATTTTTAACTACTAAAAATGCAAGTGATAAATCTAATTTTGCTTTAAAATTTAAAACAAATATAGGTTTTTTCAATTTTAGACCTGGCGAAGTGTTCTGTGAAAGTTGACGAGGGAGGGAGCAGAGCGAGGGAAATTCTCCTCTAATATAATTTAAATAAGAAAACCGTAGTTTTTAAATCATTTTTTTTCATAGCTGGTTATTTACTACGATAAATGTCACAAGTTTCCAGAGAATCGCTGGCCAGATGTGTCGTTGTAGTAAAGTGCGCAAAAGGAAAAAAAAAAAAAAAAAAAAAAAAAAAAAAAAAAAAAAAAAAAAGGGCTACCCTGGAAACTTTTGATCTTCACGTTTTAGAACTCATTCTTAGTGGTTTGAGGGAGTGACTTTAAATATGCTATTCATTTAGTGCAGACGATATTTTAGGTTACGAAATCAGACGCAAAAACGTACTTTCTCTGAATAAACATATCTTTTTTTCGACAGATTCGGATTTCTAACCCTCAATATATGGTCCTAATAGTTTGATCAGAAGAGCGGTTCAAAATTTTGACCCCCTATGTTAATTTTAATTTTTGCGTACTTACCATATAACGAGAACTTTTTAGGAAATTGAAAAATTTTTGCACGCAATTGTAAAATTCGTTTATCCAAAGATAAATCCATGCAAAAAAAATTTTTTAGTCAATATTCATTATTTTTTGTTAGGTTATATTATTTAATAATAGCAAAAAAAAAAAATTTGTATTGCAAGGTACGCAATTTTTGACATCATTTTAAAGTATCTAATTTTTCATGGCGAAATACAAATTTTGAATGAAATCGGCTGAATAGTTCCTGAGAAATCGAGTTTTAAATATACGACTTATATAAAATTCGATTTCTTAGGAGCAACCAATTTCACTCAAATTTTGTATTCTGCCATGTAAAATTAGATGCCTTACAATTCAAAAATTGTTCAAAAAATAGTAAATATTTACTAAAATTTATTTTTTGCATGAATTATTTGTGGATAAACGCATTTTATAATTGTGTGCAAAAACAATTTCAATTCGCTTAAAAATTTATCCAGACATGGCGAAATACGCAAAAAGTAAAACTTTTAAAACCCTAATGTTATCATTAGGTGATCAAAAGATTGGACTGGTCTCCTGACCTAATTATTAGAACCATATTTCTTAGATTGAGGCTACTCCCTATAATTAGGGTGTCAGAAATCCAAATCCGTCGAAAAAAAGTCTGAGAAAGTACGTTTTAGTGTCTGATTTTATGTAAAATATCGTATGCATTAAATAAGTAGCATATTTGAAGGCATCCCCTCGTGCCATTAGAAATGAATCCTAAAACGTGAAGATCCGATCATTAGAGCAAAAGTTATTCAGAGTGGTCCGTTTCTTTTTTGGCGCACTGTACATTAAAAGGAAAGTATTACTATCTGCACCTCTGAAAAAGCGAACATAGAGATCCAAGACATCATCCCTATTTCTTACACCGATACACTGCCTATTTCTAAGACCTGGAAGAGTATATAGGTCTTCAATATGATAACTGTCTACCCCTATAAATTGTCGCTGCCATAATGGTTGATTTCTCGGACATTAAGAGGTGAGTAGTGGGTCTCTGGTTCTCTCCACTAGGGCGCTGGGCCCATGTCCGAGAGTTCGTGGGTTCGAACCCCAACGGCTGAAGACTCCCCGTGTAGTAAAATGGTGACTGATGCACGTTAAATCTGTCGAGTCGCAAAGTCCTCCATGTTCCCGTAACAAATCAATACCTCTGGGTGTACTTAATTGGAGATTGATCGTTCTCTGATTCAGGTCAAAATTGCGGTCTGTGGATGAATGAATGGGTCACACCCTATAAACGGGTGTGGCAGAAATTGAATTCTTGGCCATAGATGGTGCCACTGGAAAACAAGAACAATCGCACCCCTCTTCCTTAACAGGCATACGCCAACAACAACAACTCCCTAGTTGCCAGCCAATATCCGAAAAATCAGCCAATATGACAACAGAGTTATATTTCAGGTGTGAACATGATATTCATGTTCTTGTCTTTATAAAGGTCACTTTAACTGGTTTGAATATGGGTCTTGGAATTTTATATTAGTAAATAATGCTAACCTAATATCAAAGAGTAGAATCTCAGTTTCCATGAAGTTAATATATTAATATACCGTGAATGGAGTGCAGAATTATATTTTGAAATGGTTTCAAAATATTAATTAAACAAAATATAGTAATATTTTTTTAATAATGATTTGAAAAAGTTTTATCACATTTTTAATTTATCAACATTTTTAGTTTGTTAGTATATTGAAAAAATAATATATTTTTTAAATGTAAATCTTTCAACATTTAAAGTGTTTTTTTCCATATTTTATAACTTAAGTAAAAATGTTATTTCCTTAAAACTTACTCATTGGGCACAATTCAGGTGTTATGCAAGTACCGTTCGGACCTCTGACGTATCCATCATTGCAAAAACATCCTCTGACGCAATGTTGCCGACAAGAAACTGATTTTCCAATGTTATGGCAAGTAATGGGACAGCTTGTGCCACAGAGTCGATAAGTTTCATTTTCTGGACATGCTAAAGGCGTGATATACAAATTGAAATGCATTATTAGTGACCACAGGTCGTGGATAATGAATATATTATTTAAAAAGCTGAGAATTTTTTCTTCTTTTTTTTGCAGAAAATTGTCCAAGAAGAATTTTGAGCTTCACTTAATAGGAAAAGATATTTTGTCATTGAATTTCATATTTAAATTTGGAAAGAAAAAATATTTTGTCACGTTAATTTTGCACATTTTCATAACACTTAAAATTTTAATATTTTGAAAAAAGAATTGGTTTGTATACTATGAGTCTAAATAATATAATCCCGATTTGCTTTTAGATTTACATATCAAAAGCCATTTTTCTATAAGATAGACATGGTTCGATGCTTGAAATATACGATTTAAATTAAAATTATTACGACACGTTCTTTCGATGAAATTATTAGCTTCTTGTTTTTTGTTCTTCTTCTTCTTTTTTTAAAGCGAAATTTTTTTCCCGAATTTTCGGAGGTAAAAACTAAAGAACTTCTAAAATTTTGAGAAAAACACCTCAATTTACAAGCGATAATTTTTTTTTAAAATGATACTAGTGACTCACGGCACAGACCATTATTTTATGTACTGATACTTTCACATCAACTATTAAGACATAAATATTTTCAGTGGACCTTTACATCAAATTTCAAGGGTCATTCAAAAATCTTCGAAAACCGGATTCATCAAAATCTACTAGTACCAAAATTAAACCACAAGGGCATATACACAGTTTAAAAAAAATTCAATCACTATTTTTTTTTATCTAATATGAAACCTCTTGATTTCCCACCATTTTTGATTGGTATACTGCTGTTGATTAATGTTCGATCGTATCATTAAAAGATTGTTAAGAATATTTTAAAAAAAAGAAAAAAAATTCAAGATGGTAAGGGATGAGACCAACACGGTATCTGTACATTGGATTTTTTGTATTTTTTTGCTACAAATAATTTGAATTATGATTTTCAAGTGATCCTAAAAACTATCATGGATTCAAAACATTTAGGAATATAAAATAACTTTAATTTAAAAAAATATCTCACTTTGTGGGCATTGAGAAGGCAATACACATTTTCCATTCGAATCTTTAATGTAACCAGCTTTGCAGAAACATCCTCTTACACACTGTGATGTACAAGTAGGATTTCTGTCAGTACAAGTGGAAGGACACGAAGAACCACATTCTTTGAATTCTTCATAGTCATAACACTCTGCATAAAATATGTATGGTTATTATGACGAAATTTGTTGAAATATTTAAAAATCAAGATATTACAGATTTTGTTTTTTCTTAAGGATATCCTGAAGATAAAATATATTTCTTTCTTGAAAATCTTAACATTTTGGTTAAACAAAAAGTATGCAAGTTTGAGGTTGTTAATCAGTATTTAGGTCATAGGTTCCCAAAGTGGTCCAGGTGGACCTCAGCGGTCCATAGGAGACCACACGGGGGTCCACCCACATAGACGTGAAAAGAAAACAGGGGTTCACAAGTTGTAAGTAGGGGTCTACGAAAAATTTTTTGGTTTTCATAACAAAGAACAAAAATTTTGGCTTGGATTTTACCTATCAACGTAGGCAGGTAGCATCATTCACTAGGTAGGTACTCAAAAATATTCCAGACTCAGTTCAAACACAGAATTGAATAGAACAATAGATAATAGTACAAGTGTACACCACATGTCTAGACTTGCAAAGTGTCGCCCGTGCTCCCACTCATCCGGGATGCTTGTTTAGACCTGCAAAGGGATGAAATGCGACTTGCGCTGTGCTTGCAATCTACATTAGTATAAATACGAATGCCAAGAACAAAACGTTACTCATTTGTTTCCGGGATTTTGAACATAAAAGTGTGTCTGTGAGTGAATCGATTATTATTTTAGTAATTATTATATTTAGTAATTACGAAGTATTATTTTAATAAATAGGACACAAGAAAATGTACTACTTTTTTTTTCTTCTTAACACCCCCAATTTAGGGTGATATTCTTTAGGAGTTTTGGGAATACAGTAGAAATGTAGCAGCAGGGGGTCTACCGAAAATAGTAAAACTTTGAAAGTGGTCCACGAGAAGAAAAAGTTTGGGAACCTCTGATTCAGGTGGAAAAAAACGTTATCGAAATTGGGGGATTTACAATTGGGAAGGTGGTAGTAAAAATATAAAAACATGTTAGATTGCTGAAGGAAACTAAAGAATATCAGAAGTCGAAACATCTATACATTTCATAGGTTTTTGATATTTGGTATCGGTTTTTAGTTTTGTGCGTTTCATTCGTTTTTGATAACACTCTCACCTTAAAAGTGATTCCTAAATTTTGATGGTTTTGCTTCGTCTAAATACTAATTTGTGATCGCCTGTACGTTAATGTTTTCACACTTAGTATATACTGTATATCTAATTTGGCAAGTACAGCCTTGTTTACAGAACAAAGGAAAATTTGGTTTCCTTTTAGAATAAGCGTACCGTAAACCGGGGCGAGTCTACCCATTTTTTCAGTTTGTCAACTTTCAACTGGTCAAACTTTAGTAAATATTAAAGAAAAAAGGCTTTTAATAGGTGTTTCGGAATCGCTATTTATCCCTCTTTAAAACTGTGAAATCGATTTTAGAAAATATTAACAGTTACGCTGTTACTGTATATTTTTATAGAACTGCTGACAAATCTCTCGTATGGGGCGAGTCTACCCATTCTACTAAAATGAATGTTAACATTGTAAATAATCAAATTTTACTATTAAATTGTTATTTTAG